GCTCCAAAGAGCGAACACATGTAAAAATAAACAAACAGAAAAAGGCATGTCTATTGCCCTGTCAGAGTGCTATTGTTTAAAAGTCGTGTATTCCTTTCTCACAAATATTCAATTAGAATCTTTTTCATGTATTCAGTAAACGTATTTACCCTTTGCTACTTAATCCAGCGCAAATCAGAAAGTTGACTTTAAATCTGGTTTCACCTATATCATATAAGACGTATTGATAATTAGGAATTATTAGATTTTTATGGGGTGACTTTGAAAAGGATAACTCCTGAATATTTTTAATTCCCTTACTTCATTGCATTACCAAAAGCACTTTCTTGCCGGCAGTCTTTTTTTTTACCCGCTGTTAAATTGATGGCACTTTTATCGTCATGGGAATGAGGGAACAAAATTAGTTCATACAAAGAATTTCTTGGCTCAATATTAAGTACTGAGGCAAAATACCTCAAAAACTGTTCCTCATACCGTAATCTACAGGATGAGATATTACTAAACATTCTAATAAATCTTTGCCGGTTCGGCACTTATCTATTCTACCAATGTCACCAGATTTCACCAGATGTCACTAGATTTCAACCCTTTGTGCTGGTGGCTATCTTTGTGACATCTCGCTTTGAAGGCTTAGATTCCTCTATCTTATACTATTTGCGCTTTCTGTGTACATCGTGGTTTGCGCAGACTGACGAGGTTTATTTGCATAATTATTAATTCAAGTTTCGCTCTCGCAGCAGAACTAGAAATACTATTAATAGTTCCTTAATACCGATGATTGTTTCTTGTAGTGAAAACATTTGTTTAATGTTTTGCCTGCTGAAAGTTAAACAGTTTTGCAAAAAGTAGGGTTGTACATGCCCGATTCTGTATTTTCGCATGGACACTTTACTTTCTCAAGAATAAAAACCTTCCCTAATATTTGTGACTTTCAAGGAAAGCGAAAAGCCAAGTGCCAAGGAACTTCATATATTTTTAACGAAGTGTGAATTTTTACAAGAACAAGTCTCTATAATACTGAATAAACCTTTATTTAAAATTTGTTTCCAACGTCAATTGCATTGTTTTTATTTTTGTTTGATGTGCTGTAGGAACGATACATTTATACATTTTAACAAATAAACACGTATCGCTAACAACTTTCCTTCTTAATGTAAAGGAAAGAGAAATCGATAGGGAAAGGGTGGGGATTAACAAACGAGAGTTCTCTCACGGGCACGCTAGTATTATTTAATCATCTAATCTATTCGAAAGCGTACGTTCTTTCCTAAGAAAGACCTGAAGGTACCAAACTTATGATGGATACTGTAGTAGGAAATTTGTATAGCTGAACTTAATTACTTCTTTATATCATGACTAACAAACAAATAAGAATTAAAACTTGTTAACAAACTGATATTGAGTTACTCTCGTGCTTCGCAGGTTGAGTGTATCCATTTCATGGACATTCCGTCTTTTTGCAGAAAATACATGGAAGTTAAAACTAATGTTCAAAAATAACTACGTGCATTCACCACACTCATGAATCTCGATGGAAATCGAAAGCACGTTCACATTTGCTTATGGAGTTGTGTTTCATTCAGAAACGTCTCGTATATCGCACTAAAGTCCTTCGGAGACTCGGCTCTACAAGAGCAACCTTGACGCAGCTCAATTGAGAACACCCGGAAGAACGAAGCATTAGGAAGAGACTTGAAGGTCTTCTCGTTCACAATATCGAACACCACTGGGGAACAGTCAGCTCAGGACTTCCGATCACGAACGGTTCCTAAATCATTTACTTTACGGAAATAATAGTATCAATTTATTTTTATTGTTCACATGAATGAAGGTTATGACTCAAATTATACTTACAAAACTGCTGATTTTCCATATTTCCAAATTTTCTGCGGAAATGGTGACTTCCTGTCAGTTTGTTAAAAATATATTCAGTTTTTTTCATTATCGAATTTACGTATTAAAATAATGCATGCAATTCTCGCAATTACAACTTTAAAATATCCGAATACACTAAAAATTAATACTAATTTTCAATTCTTAAGCAAGATTTTTTAAACTTTGAGAGTAATTACCCGAAAGAAGACTCAAGCTGTACGTCTAAAAAGAATTGTTACAATGTGTCAAAGAGCCTAAATGAAACATATTTACATTAAACTAAAAATTATACAATTTGGAGGTTTTCGTGGAAAGTTCTGACATCAGGTCACTAATCACAGACAGAGCCAATGATGTCGATGACACAAGGCTGCAAAAGTACACACCCTCCCCGCACTTTGCATAATCACATGAGTATGTCGTCGGCGAAACCAGTTACAAGAACACACAAAACAAAAAACAAAAAATCGTAAATTGTTTGATTTTGTTTTGGGCAGAGCCTTATTACACTTCCAACTAACGAGCTTATAGCTTCTGGCGCAGAGAGTTAAGTGCGTGCGAAATTGCGGTTGGAAAAGTAGAGGAACACGATGAAGACAGTGGTGTTATGTAAAGTAGAATTATAAGTTTTTAATAATAAACCACTAAGAGTTATTATTAGTTACGGTTAACCTTTCAGTAATTGTGCCTAAACTTTTCTAGAACTTCATGATTTCTTTTTTATCAATTCATTAGTACTTTTTATACAACAATTTAAATTTATAATATTATAAATTAAATAATTTAACAGTAAATAATTTCTTAAGGAAACGTACCTATGAATCAACAGTCAGTCAATCACTACCTACCTAAATAATTTCCTACCTCGTAATTTTACACCTCATATTGGTCTTCAAAACTAAAATGATAGCAATTTAATTGGGTATTAGCCCGTGTTTTCTTTCCACTATATTAACAGTTATTGCTATTTTTGACGCAAACAATAAGTGAAAGCATTTCCTATATCTATTAATCACGCAAAAATGGGAATAAACAGAAAAATGCAGTTACTTGGTAAAAGGCAGAAAATTAGAATTTTAAGAATGAAGCTTTACATTTGTATGTTGTGATAAAATCCAAAATTGTTTACCCGTAGTAAAACTATGACAAAGTTGCAATTCGTAATTGCAATTCATTCGAATTATAACATAACACAATTAACGTAATAAATTAAAATATAAAAAAGGAATCCAAAATAATTCCAAGTTCCAAGACATTGTCTTTCTGAGATTCTGATTGAACTTCCCACTGATACTGAGCGAACCAACGAACAATAGTAAAACTCTTCGTAGGAGCGTTTGCTAAAGGATTAATGTCGCTAAGAAGATGGTTTTGTGACTGAAGAAACTGTTTTTATCTCAATGATTATGGAATATGCAGAGCACAAGATGAGAACGCAAAGCATTTAGGAAATTAACTTTTCTGTTTCAAGCATTTCCCTTCCACGCAAACAACCACTAAGGACGACAACATTGATACGAAAGAAGTGAAGACAACGCAAATGTCAACAACTCCTAGCGAGCAGTAAAAGAAGACTTGGAAAAGTTTAATACTGTTAAAAGATACATATTTCAAAAGCAATATTACCATATCAGGTGATATACTCTCCAGATTTGTATACGGAGAAGAGAACAAAAAGATGACCTGATAAAAAACTTCAAGGTTGATACAGTGTTAAACACAAAGCAAGATATCTTTATATATGGTATGACATTCGGTATCTAAAGACACAAGGAAGATGATAATGCTGTCTCCAATTCAACACTATGTGTTTATTTACCAACCTCCTTAAATTATGTAAATATACTACACATTCCTGATATTATTCGATCATGAAAGTATTAGGATAAAAAGATAAAACAAAATTCAAGTACATTCAAAAATAACGAAATAATGACGTAAGGGTATTATAACTAGCGGACTATTTGTCAGTTGAATGTGGAGAAAACATACGATGAGAAACAAAAAGCAGGAAAAGAAAATATTTTAACGTGGCAGTGTAACAATTTTCGAATGTTACCACGAGATGTGGGAGGGAAAGGCATTTAATTAGCGAAAACATTTTTTAAGTTAATAAAAATAATATTTGTTTTCTTCATTTTAATAGAAGTTATGATGGAATGGTTAAATAGAAAACATAATAAGACGAAGAGCTATTCAAATCGACAACAATTAGGTGTAGAAAGGGTAGATATTGTTGAATGAAATATTCTGGAATATTGGCATAGAGAAATAAAAATAATGTAAACATGATTATTTGAATACACGTCTTAGGATTGCAGTCAATCTTCATAATGAATTTAAAAACTTCCACCTGATCACCGAAGCTACAAACTTACTGCAGCAGTCATCACTCGCAGCTGAATTTATAAAACCCTTTTGTAAAATTCTTCTAGGCATTTTTGAATTAATCTTGTCTGTTTAGCAACAATTCAAGTCAAAATGGTAACATGGAGAATCCTTAACGACCAAAAATATATACAATGAAGTCGGGTTTATGAAGCTTGGTCAGCGGAGAAAAAAATTCACTATATGGTTATTTACCAACATTTCGGAAAATATATTGCCATTATCAGAGATACAAGACCAAAAAGACTCTCTTAAGTGTTTACGTGTTAAATAGCTGAAATCCTACTCTATCTTGATACAATAAGGTAAAATAAAGGAAATAATACAATATAGTTAGCATACCTTGCAACCAACCGAAGAGAAACCAAAAAGAAACCATCACTCAAGAATATGTTGATCCAGTTCTTTAGTTTTTCTCTTCTGTTATTTGCAAGCTATGCTACTCGTAAGTATATTGAGTTATTACCTTCCAAATTTATTTTACCTTAATTGTATCAAGATACTAGGCTTTCAGTTATTTAACACGTTGTGTCCTTAGTGATTTTTTTCTTGTTTTAATGATCTTGTAGAGCCCTGATGATAGAAATGCGTTTTCCGAAACGTTGGCAAATCACCATGTAGTGATTGTTTTCTCCAGTAACCAATATCCATAAATTTGACTTCAGTTTCCAGATTACCTCACAACGCATTTGCCATTTTTCGACCCGACCACCGAACTTCTCTTTTTCGACACTTACCCGGTGGAAAATTCTCCGGCTTCTGGTAGGCCTGGCGGTACAACCGCAGCACCAGCAGCAGCAGCGCGGCGGTGACGGCGAGTGCCGTGAAGGCCGGGGAGGCGGTAGCAGCGGCCGCCGCCGCCACCACCCGCTCCAGCCGCAGCGGCACCAGCGTCTCCAACATGGCGGGGGGAGCGTCGAGCGACGAGGGAGCAGCAATGGAGCGGGCGCGGGGCAGCCGCCGCGCTTTTAAGCCCGGCTATCGGAGCGGGAGCGCCCGGCCTGACCTTCGAGCCTCGCCATCGGCCGTGCTGAGCTCGGCCCTGTCGCCGCGCCGGGCGAGGACGCTGTCGAAGGCCCCCAATCGGAAGTGATTCGGGGGAGGGAGGAATGACCTAGGATTTGGGGAATCAAACGGAGAAAGAAAAAAAGAATCCTTCAACGGGGGATTGGGGGGGGGGGAGGAGGTCACTGAACATTCAAAAATAAATGACAATGGGGAGGAGGTATAGCATGGCCTAAAACGTCCATGTATCTTATCAGCAAAGTGATCTTATTTTGATCAGAAAATAATCTAAAAGTATTATCAATATTGGCGGTGAGGAAACCTTGTAATAGTTTGAGAAGAAGTTGTCTAGTATCAATATTTTTGATTCTTAAGATCTTTTCGACACCACGGCGAAGAGGTAAACTCGCAGCTTTTGAGTGGAAAATAAAGTTCTGGGCAGAAAATATAGCTCTGAGGATGATCGCTACGCGATCGAAAATATCTTATTAATTAAAAATATCGATACTAGACATCTTTTTCTCAAATCTAAAAGCATTCAAACGACTTTACACGATGTACTGAACAATAAACATTTCTAAAAGTGCTTTGGGTCGGAGCTATTCTTTTCTATTATTTTCTTTAATATTCTCTCTCTCCCTCCCCCTTGCGAGCGGTTTTTTCGTCGAGTGTAGATAGGCCTGACTGAAATCGCCTCCATAGCTTTCTGCCACTACCGTCTCCCTCGCCCCTTTCCAGTATCTCTGACCGGGAGGTCACAGGGTTTGAGTCCTGACAGTGACAGAAATTTCGACACTAGCTACGCACATAGCAAGGTCGAATTCATTCGCTGTCTGGAGAAGAATTCTAGAGGCCGGCTAGAATCGGTAGTTTTCTGTTCAACGTCAGGCGAATGCGAGAGCAGTACCCTAACAAACGGGCCATGGACCACGGGCCGTTTCCTCTTCCTGGTCCTTTCCTCACCACTCACTCAGGCACACACATGCACACACTTGCACTACAGTACCACACTTGTCTGGAGACCAGTCGGGAGCTTAGAGCTTGTCTGGGCAGGGACGGTTCCTCGCTGGTGGGAGATATCTGGATTGGGAAAACCCAGCCAACCCAAGGGTAAGCCGTCGCCGGACTTCGCCAATCAGCGGAGAAAGATCACCGCTTCAAAACATGCACTTCACATTCGTGACTAATGACCTTAGCTGTGGACGGACTGGAACCATCAACCAGTCAATGAATCTTTCCTTTCCCGATGGACCCCATCCCAAGCCCCAGTCCCGGATTCCGGGGAGGGCAACAGAGGCACATTCTAAAACAAAAGGGGTCCAACTGCATTTCTAAACCCCCTTGCTCATTAAGGCTTTTATGACTTTTTATTTGTTTTAACTTCTAATTAAATTAAATTAAATTAAAATTTGTTTAATTTCTAATTAAATAATAATCCATACAAATAATATTTCTTCACTTCGAGGTTTTGAAGTGTATATTTCCTGAATTCTAGAATCAACAACAATGTTTCTATGGAAACTTTCTGCAATTGGCGAGATGACAAAACAGACAAGCAGTACCACAGCCTCCAGCTCGATTGCAACATTTATTGACATAATGACAAGAATACAAAATTATATTTATCTTCCTAAGAATTTAAAAGAATGGAAGTGAGTTTATACATTTTGTATTTATCTAGGTTAGTTTATCAAAGGAATAAAGCTTCTGTGGGCTCATTCCTTTTTTCTGTACCATTTCAGACGTGACATACCGGGACGCCGTTTCGGTGCATTCCCAATCAAATCAAGGCCTGGTAATAAATGTTATTAGACAGATTAACAACAATAAAACACGGTTGAAGTTCTTAAACCAAGGCGGTAGCATAGTCGGGTTATCAGCTGTGTGTTGCTCAATAATTTTCATAATACCATCTTATTTTAAGAAAAATCATAAAAAGAAATATTAGTCCTTGAAATAAAAGTATTCATATGCCATCTTCAACTACATCTCATTTGCTTCGATTCTTCTTAAAGGACGGCGGACTGTTAAAACCTTAACGGACCCTTGCCGTTAAAAGTGACTTCTCGTTCCTTAATTTGATTATGTTAAGCCGATAAAAAACACAGTAGTATTAGGAAAAGTGGTTTGAAAACAACATTCTTGGTTGAAACCTCAAACGAGATGTTTTAGGTTGCGTCTTAGGCAGATGCAATTTACAAAGGATTGACAATATAAATGTAAGTTAAGTGCTTTTGAAAAGCAAGGCAACTTTAGACTTTTTGAGAATTTTCCTCACTCCTACCGAAGTTGTAAATACATACTATAGTATCTGCCTGCGGAAAGAAAATACAAGAGAAAAATGTTATGCAAACTAATTGCATAATGAATTATTACAGGACAGGCTGATCTTTCAAAATACAAGAGAATACGTTTAAATCAGTCATCATAATTGTTCAAATGCGTTCAATTTATTCTGTCACTTTTTTAAAATCCAGCAAATTTTAGGAATAATAATATCCAAACAAATACGTAAAGTACAGTACTTTTAATTGATTTAAACGGCTCGATATTAAGATAGTGCTTTGCCACATCTTCAACAAAAATAAGACAATTCAACTAACACCCCGCATTTGCTGTATTAGGCAAACCTCGTATACGTACATTCTGGGCAACGATTGTAGTGCTGGTGTGACAAAACGACACTGTACCCCGGGAACATTGTGACATAGTGTCGGATTGAAACTGATGTCTTCTTTCTCAGATTGAACTCTGGAGTCAAGCCTTTCAGGTTGTAGTACGAGGAAGTGAAACCAGGAAATCTACAACTAAGTGAAAGTATATTTTTGAACCGCAGAGTATCTGCTTCTCTGGTTGTGGTCACTTATTATTATTATTATTATTATTGTTATTATTATTATTATTATTATTATTATCATCATCATTGTTATTATATTACTCGCTTTTTAACACCTGCTCCCAGGCCAGCTGTGGTCACATTTGTTTCAGCGCTATCCTTCAAATAACTTGCTAGAAAGTATCTTAGGTGAAAATTATCGAACGTGGATGGAAACTGACGATGTTGGCCTCATAAGTAATGTAAATAATATGGATATTTTCAAGAATTTTTTAAGATAATCGATACTAACTTAATGTTTAGACATATCTTGAGAGATTGATGAAGAAGTAAGATTAAACCGAACAGAAACGAAGGAGGAAATGCTATTTGAGAAGAAATTTTACGACGTAAGCATTTTCTTTTATTACAATTGGCAGCTATTTCAAAGAGCATTCCGCCATAGGAAATGCACAAAACATTCTGGGTCAATGGCACGTTAAATAGTCTCGTTATTTTCGCTCGCGTTTCTCAACATCACACTAGAGAAAATCTCTCTAACAACACTTGCGGGCCTCTCAGGTTTGCTGTCAACAAAACACTTTGCGTTTCACAACGCCTCAGCAAGAGAGACAAACATCCGTGCACTGGTTTCTGCTACTGATACCAGGTAGAATGTCTTTCAAAAAGCTTTCCCCACAATATTTCTCTGCTTCAATAACCCCGTTGCATTATTCTCTATTATTTCAGTGTACATAATTATTTTTTTTTTAATTTTTTAACTTTTTTATTTTGGTTTGAACAATACAAAGATCAGTGCGTAAACGACTACATTTGTTATGGTTGCTTAAATGTACTTGGAATTAACTTACAATAATTTTAAAATACAACTAACAATACTAAGCACTTGTGCATTGGAGGTGTACCATGGATCATTCATAATGGAACGGAGGAACTGTTTTTGACCACTTGGAGTTTTTGGCATTTGATTTCGCAGCGCTGATACATATTGAGCATGCATATAAAAGTAGTGGTCGTAGGATGATTTTGTAAAGTAGTACGGTGGTATCGTATGATAATTTAGCAGATCTGTGGATTGGTTTAAGGTTATGTAATTTAATTTTTGCTTGTATAATTTTATTATCGATGTGATTTTTTCAATTGAGACGGTCTCTATGTAGCTTCCTAAGTATTTTACAGGATTGTTGTGAGATGCAATTGTAGACGTTCTTAATTCGATTGTAAGGAGGGTTGGTTTAAGGTTATGTAATTTAATTTATGTAGTTTAAGGTCTTAAGGAAAATATTTTGGTTCCTGTTTTTGACGGATTGATTTTAATTTTGTTTTTGGCTGCCCACCTGTCGATTAGGTGAAGGTATAACTGAAGATCGTTGTTAATTGTGTATCTGGAAGGACCTCGTGAATAGATAGTCGTGTCACCTTCAAATTGGGCAGTCTGTATATTAATTTTGTCAGACTATAATTGTTTTTTATATTACCATGTTTCGGTAGATCGAATGCACAAGTTACAAAGAGCATGAGATAACGGAGAGCCTTGAGAAAGGCGTGCCTTGACTGCTTTTGAACAAAATCACTGGATGAAGAATTAAACATAAATGTATCAAATATGACAATTATTTCGTAAATATTGATTTTATTTATTTATTTATTTAAAGTTGCTATAAAACACCTCAGGTCATGAACGACGACTGATATTTAGACAATTTTCCAAACGGATAGATAAGTGAATTGAACAACCTACATTAGAAATTGAAACCCAGCTGATTTCAACAGCTGTATAATTTCATCACATCCATCCTCCGATTTGAATAAATCAGGTAAGGTGATAATGATTCCCAGTAACGAGTTTTCCCTTGTTTTCGTACATCATTACTTCGGTGAATATCCAGATTTTCAATAACCGAATATTCTTTCGCTTCGTAACAGCCACGTTTCTCATTTTCATTCCTGTGCTGTTACAAAATGAGGCGGGTTTTTTGCTGGCCATAACATTTCTCCAGAACGTATTACAGGGAGAGACGTTTATTTACAACACGTTTACTTAATTAGAAATAGTAGTAAA